TTTTTTTTATTATAATAATATTATTTTTATTTTCGCACCGTGGCGTGGCGGTTTTAAGAATTACTTTTACTAAGCTACTAAGTTCACTTAAAAAATAATTTGTCATGCCTAAATTGTATTATATTTTTTGAACACTTTGTTTATTTTTTCTGCTGGTTTTATATTTGTTGACATTAAATGTTTTTTTCACACAGTTTACTTTGCACTGTTTAAAATTTATATTTGAAATTATTTGTTAAATTCTATAATAAAACTTAATTATTAATATACTAAATTTGTTTTTTTTTTTTTATAAAAATTATTGCATAGCTTAACAGCATTTGCCAAATTTTTATTTGTGAACTATTAAAGAAATATTTAATAAAACGAAATTTAAATTACAATGCTGATTTACTTTAAATTTAACATTTTTATAAAAAAATATTACAATTAGTGAAAATTTGTTATTAAATAAGTCTCAAGGTAAAGGAATACATATTTTTGGGAAGAACAATTTCAGCAACTGCAATGAATGTATTGAAAACGAAGCTTTTGCTCTGAGTTGCTGGCAAAAATTTTTATTAAAAATATGTAAAGCGTACTGCTTTGCACTATTTTTCTTTTTTTTTTTTTTGAAATTGTTAAGCGACGACATATTTTATGCGCATGCGAAAAGGCATAACGTTATGTATGTATATAAGTAATTTTAAATTTAAAAACCGAAATAAATGAAAACAATTTTAGCATGGAAAAATATATGCAAGGGGAGCTTAAACATTTATTGTAAATTAAATGATAAGAACAAAATAAAAAATGTTAAAATGGAAAAATGAGTTCAGCGCAACGCAGGCAATGCAACGGTGAAAAGTTATTTAATGACAAATGTATGCGTAAACAGTTTAAGCAAATTGTAATAATAAAAAATACATATACACACACATATATATACATTTGTATATAGTAACCATGTAATGTAATATAAATATAGAAAAAGTAAATATACTGCAAAATGCAGCAAAACTTGTAATACGAAATAATAATATAATGAGCAGTAACGGTAAATAAAATGTAGGGAAGGAATTATGCAATTTAGTTAAATAATATTTAACAATTAAATATGGTAATTAAAAAAAAAATATTAATAATTAAATACTAGCGGAAAAGTAAATAAACATTTAATGCAGCAACATTAATTTAATACATAATTATTAAATAATCTTAGTATTTATGCAACATTAAAGCCGAAACAAACTTAAAACAAAACAGAGCGTAAATTTAATGCGAAAAACATGAATTTTAGGTTAAGTGCAACCGGCAAACAATTCACGTTCAGGAAATGTAAAATTAATAGTTCTTTAATTACAACAACAATTACAATGTATTACAAATGACAATTTATAAACAGCAAATAGCAGTTACAATATAAAAATAAAGAAAATTTAATTTAAATTTAAATATTATTACACTCGTGGTATAGTTGTTTCGAACGAATGCAAATGCAAATGAATAAACAAATACAGTAACAACAACAAATAATGATGGCATTTAATTAATTTACAAAATACAAGTTAGCAACGTTAACAAACCCAAAACGAAAAGTATTTACGAATTGAATAATTGAATTTTTAACAAAGCAGTCAAAGCTGAAATAAAATTAAATGGAAAATAATAAATATACGTAAATGAAAAGAACATATTAGTATAGAAATAGGTGAAGTAGCGCGAAGGTAAAACAAATGCAGTTAATTTTCCGTTAAATGCGTGCGAATCCAACGAACGCAGGAATAATTCGAGCTACACTTCGTTAGGAGCGGCGATTCGAGCTTTCGCTCTCTCTCTTTAAAGTGTGCTTCATGTTAGACTGAGGCAACACTTCGGTTTTGCAGGCAGGGAGCAAACGATTTTAATACAAAAATGGTGCTTACGAATTTGCTTTTTTTTTTGTTTTTTTTTAAATAAAAAGTCAAAAAGAGTAAATGAATATCCGCTTTGAAAGGGCATACTGTTAAAAAAATGTATTGCAATAAACAAAGAGCGCACGTACTTGGACGGCAGTGCACTTGATTTGGTGATTCTAAGCGTGCCATTGAACTCGAACGCGGCTCTAAGAAAGCCTTCCAGCAACTAATGATTCTTTCTGAGAATTTCGCATGGATTGTGAACCGTAAATTAATATTTATAAAAAAAATATATTTCTCAATTGCTGGTAAAAAAAAAAGAAAGTTAATGTCCAAACGCAAATTCATGTTGTTGTTGTTGTAGAGGTAGAAAAAAATGTCGGACATAATTTTGAAGAGTTCTACCGAGTTGACAGTGCTTGATCGGGTCCGTTCCGGCAACGCAGACTCGACTGTCGTGGCAACGGCCACAAATTAATGGTATTATATGCCAAAATTTTTTTGAAAGTGGGATTGGTTTTTATGTTTGTATTTGATAATCCGTAAAACATAATTTAATGTTGATTTTTCCACTCCATTCCGCGATTTGACACTATTATTTGTTATATCTAAAATAGTTTTTTTTTTTACTTTTTACTTGATTTTATTCCATTTAGCACGATTCGAAATTTATTGCACTTAAATTTCCATTTTGTGGATACAACCAAGTTTACTGGTCAGAGCACATTTTAGGGGAATGATCAATATTCTTTTCACACTAGTTTTTTTGGAACCAAGCTATCGTGTAAAAAGAAAATTAGGTGTTGTTTGGAATGAAGTTCAAATGAATAATATCCGGATAGGCTGAATAACCGATTAATATTCGTTTTTACGGTAATACAGACATCCATATATACAAAAATTCAAGTATATATGTACGTATGCACATATCGGCACCTAAAATGCAAAAGAAAGTATTTTCAAAAAAGTCGAAATGGAGTTTTTTATTGCTTACGGTTCGCAACACCATATTACATAAAAGTCGCATTAAATTTTATAAGAAATGTATAACCATTTTCTAACCAAAACTCAGATTTTGTTTCAATATGAGTGGTTTCTATTGCATAATTTTTCCTTCGCCTGTCAACTTATGAAAAGTGATGTTACGTTATTTTGCATTTTATGTGACGATATAAACTTTCCTCACACATGGATAAAGCCCGCATAGGATTGTTGTCCGAACAAGCATAGTTTGTGAACTTACCCGGTTATTTATTTGAAAGTAGTTAGGATTTATATACGCCAATTAAGAAGAAGTAGTTAGGATTTATTCAAGATGCGTATACATATTATGCGAAGACTATAGCGCACATTGTTTTACAATATTTGACAACAGGTCCGTTTTCAAAACTTAAATATGCTCAAATGCAACCCTGGTGAGTTTTTGGAAATTTACTTTAAATTAGAACAGATACGTATATTGGAAGCATTTGCGGTTATTACTTGTTACTTTACGGCATTTCATTAATCATAATTTAGATATTTTGGTTTTTCCCGCAAGATAAAATTCTTTACTTTGTCGGTAAATTACATAATACAATTGGATCATAAATATAGAGATCTATGCATTAATAAAATCAAATAATTATTTATATAACTGTGATCTATGAAATATGAGGTTATTAACATTAACATAATCTCATTCATTATTTGATTTTTTACTTACCAACCGAAAGTTAGGAGATCCTCACAATAGCGCGTGGTCGAATGAAATCCGGGTAAATTCCGTTAAAGTAGAACTGGAACTCTCTCCATTGCGCTCCTTCACTATTCGTTGATCTAATATTAAACTACCTGAATCACTGTGAGTAAGCTTTGCTGCCTCTCCAACG